TCGGGTGTTTGAGGAGTGATGAAATGGGAGGTGGCCCCCCATCTTATGGACGGTGTAGGACGTGATAATATCAACTTGCGAGCTGACCAGGAACTAAGTTGATGCGCCGTTGATCCGCTAGATTTGGTTGGATGCTGGTGGTGAGTTGCCGAACCCAACGAATACATTCTGAAGTCGGATGGGGTGACGGATTAGGGTGCCCCTCTAGCAGGGGAGAGCAGGGACTGCCCCGGGAAAGGGGGCCGCTGGCGAAGTTAACCACCCTGTAACAACATAGTATTGGAAAAATTAGATGACATAACAGCCGCCACCTCGCCCGGAAACGTTTAAAATGCAGACATAAACCCTTCGTACTTCAATTTTCGTACCATGCTTCTCATAATGGGCCATAAGCGTTTTGTGTCGGTCACTCGCTGGGTCCTCCAGTTGTTTTATGTTGCTGGGACAGGTCCAGTCGTAAACATGCTTGTGTACACATGCATATGATAGCGCCGCGCTACGCGCGAATCACCGTTTCGTGGAAGGACAGGAGTATCACATCACCATGATGCAGACAAATATGTTTTTGATGGCGGTCCTTAATCCACAAGGAATGCCTTGACTTCAGCTGTGGTAAAAGCTCCCCAGATGGTGCTGCACCTTTGCAGCAAAGGCCCCATGCCCCTTCAGCAACGCACATACCCACACATACCAGCATATTGAAGCAAAAGACATTTCATTGTAGTGAATCCTGGTGCACGCGGCGCGCAGCGCGCGCAGAGATCTCTTGCGCAAGCCGGCAGCGCGGCGCGTCTAGATGAGCCCATTTCCCTAGCAATCTGCTGCATATATATTAAAATGAAAACTACATCATGAATTTATGGAAAGTGACGCAATGCACAATACTGGGGGCTACGCCGATGCAAGCGGTTGGCGCCAGTGAATGCATGAAATGCAAACAAAGCTAAAACTAGCACTCAGCTATTTATGTATATTAAGGAGACATATTTATCTGGCGGTTTGGGGCCTGAGGTGCGTCCATGGCGACAGCTGCCCGCGACTTGGAGCCATCACAGCCATGGGCGACCCAGGTGAGACGGATGCGGATGGCTATTTAGAGCTGCAGCGGGGACATTTGCAGAGGCTTTGGTAGGAGCAGCGCCTTTCACAGTACCGTCGGCGACACCAATGGCGTTCGCGGCACCGTTCGCGGCGTGGCCATTGTGAGGGCCATTGGGAGGGCCAAGAGCAGCACCATTCACAGAGCCGTTCACGGCAGGCCTAGCGACAGGGCAAGCCGCAGGGTCATCCGCTCCTTGAAGGGGTGACGGTGGTGGTGGAAATCTGTTAGCTAATCTTTGGAAGCGAAACAAATTAGCAGCTATGCAATAAGTGCCTTCCCACATCCATAGATGTAGGTATGTGGGCAGACCGACAACGTATGTCAGCTTCCCCAAACGCAACCGGAATGTTGTGATGGGCAGCCGACGTTATTGCTCAGTCCTGCCGTGGTGCGTTACAGTAGCTAAGCCGCCAACCGCAAGCACAACTCTGTAGCAAAACAACCCGTTGCGAAACCCCCTCCCAACACCAACCCATTGTGAAAGTTGCACTAGTGGCCGACAGTAATGACAGGTCTTGAAAGGACCCACAAGTGCAACGATCGCTGGTCGGTATAGGTCAAGAGGGTCATCACCCATGCCCCAGCCGCACTTCACACAAGCATCNCACGGGACTTATGCCTGTAGCTCGGCACCACAAGGTGCTCGATAATATAACATAACGTGCATCAGAAATTAGGCGGAATTTGGGAGTGGCCTTCTTTAGGAACAAAACCGAGGGGCAATATGCAGCGCAGTTGGCAGTCGACTCATGGTCCCGCCCCAGTTGCGACCAGTTCGGTGATCGCAAAATTCAGTCTGCTGTTAGGCCGACGGTTGGTCAGGCTGTATGGTGCTTCGTACAACAGCGGAAAACCGAACAGTACCCAGGCCATGACCAGGCGGGACTGCATAAATAACTTCCAACATGCTGTTTTGGCTTTCAACCGGGCCCTCATCTGTGATGGCTGGTTGGACTTAGGTTTGTCTACGCGTGGCAAGCTTGTCCTGGCCCTCCTTACCTTCAATGTCGGGACAACTCTCATGTCATCCACGCGCCGGGTGTGCACTTGTTCAGGGCCTGTCGGTACCGGTGTTCTCTCCGGGGAAATGCGGACACCTTGGTTGCGGGCACTGGCTTGCCGTGTCACGCCTCTTATGGGGCACTTGTGTCGGCCGACTCGAGGCCGGTCCGGCATCCGTAGGATAAACTTGTGTTTGACGCGCTGGTATAATCAGTGCTGCTGAGGGATCGCTATATTTTGAGCCAAAGAGTAACCGTAGACTTGGTCTTGTTGCCGATTGTGATGGTGTTGAGCCATTGCTGCGTACATAAGATCGCGCCCGCCGAAGATGCACTGTCTGGTGACGACCACAGTGGTCGAAGCTGTATGACTTTGGCACAACCCCCCACCGATGTGCGGCCGGGCGCGCTGGTTGTTGCAGGCCGCCGGTCAGGAGACGGGAAAAGGGGCCAATCCTTCTTAAGTGAGCCTTTTCTTTCATTGAATAGCGGGACAAGATCGTTTAGTAGACGAACGTGTGTCTGCAAACGCGCATGAACAGGTTCCCTTGAATGGCAATGAATTAGTAGCCATGTCCTGTTCGCTGGGCACCCAGGAAGATCTTATATATGTAGTGTGTTAAGATCTAGAGACGCGGCGGCAAGGTACACAAAGCATGAAGGCAAAGTCGGGATGTATCGGGGAAAACTGGTGTGATGAAGCGGGAGTATGGAACCAGTGCGCTGTCTTCTTGTGCTTGCCCGGAGTGGGCACTCATGTTGGATGGTTGGGTAGCTGATGTGAAGTGGGGGCAAGGAAGGAAATTGGGTTTCTGCATACCCGCGCAGCTTTAGCACCAAAGGTGATTTAAGCCTGCCCACACAGTAGGGCACGACAGACCGATTTAATGGGTCTTGTAGCCTCTTTACCCTACCGCAGTCACTTGAGTATGTACCCTTTGCGGGGGTGGGGTGCATCCCTGTCGACTGCCAAAGTAATCACAACTGCGAGCCACATCCGGCCATAACCACAGTGAAGACGGGCAGTATTAGAGCTCTTCTCACAAGAGACTTCTGGCCACATCCAGCCTAAGCACAGCGAGTGTCCAAAATTGCTGGCCACATCCGGCCTCATAAGCAGCTTGTGTGGGATGTTACTGGCCCCTCCAGCCTATAGCTGTCGGCTGTCGGTCTTTACCGGCTCCAAGCAGGGG